CTTAATTTATTATTATCAGATAGATATCTTTGTTGAAAACACCTACCTAGGTAGGTACCTATAGTTTAAAAACAAATACATATAGTTTGCCAACCAAAATTACTTGCACTTGTCAAATACAAAAAGAAACGGTTTATTTTTAGTTTATGGCCTGTAAGTAAAATGTGCAATTATATTTAAAAGTAACAAGTCAAGTCTGAGACATGCATGATCCAAAATAAAATAGGTACCCATATTATCATATAACTTTGTAGTTTCCAAACTACCTAGGTACACAAAATTTTAATTAACTAAATCACTTTTACTTACCAACAAAACTAAAAAGCAAATGGGCTAAATTATTTTCTTTGAAGAATTCTTCCATACTATTAATCATAAGCACTTAAACACAAAACTATAACCGTTGATTAAACACCTCCTTCTCTTAAGTTAAGAGTCTTAACGCTCTGCGAGTTTGTTTGCAAATGCTGCCGGCAGCCGGACAAGCGTCTTTGTCTTTGGAGTCAAATGCTCTAATTGGCTCCGCGAGTCACGTGGACATAAAAGCAAATAAATATGTATTTGCTTCAAGTAAATGTATTTTTGAAACAAACAAATCACGTGTTTACGTTAATTATATGACATACGTATCAATTCTATTATTTTGTTAAAATAAGATATTATATGCTTGTATTAACATTTGATAAAACTAAATCCATACAACCTATATCCAAACAATTTAATTAATTGCTCTAAATAAATATTTCTTTACAATTAATCACAACAATAAGTTGTTTTCAAGAAACTCATGATTTACAAGCAAATAATAGTATTTTCTTATTGTAAACAAGAAGTTACTACGAACAAGACAATTTTACTTCATACAAGAAAAACTGTTTCAAATAAATGCATTTTCTTAAATCAAGAGATTACTTTTCTCTGTGTAGTGCATAAATTTAACACTCCTGTGTGTTAAGGGTACTCTGGGTAGTGACCCGGGAAAAAATAGTTTTGTTAATTAGAGTATTATTTTGCACTATTTTTATAACATTTAGACTCTTATTAATGAGTTATTTAATCTTTTAGAGTAAACAAACTACTTTTTTTTTAGTTAATATGCATACCTTTTTTACTCCGATTAGTAAACCTTACATTCAAATCGAGTAAAAATTACTCTATCCTTGGTTGCTATAAAGAGAGGAAAATTAAAAACATATTTAAATTCAAAAGTATATTTTGTGAAAAATAACAAAAATAAAAAATCATATACCTACCTAACTAATGTTAACAAAAAAAACAATGTATAATTAAAATATTTAAATTAACTCGAACAAATGTTTCTTTTAAATCAATGCATCCATTTTAAATGGGATTTGTATATAATTGGCTCGTTTCTGTTATTATCGGTTTTTAGACATAATGCCTAATCACATTTCAAGTTTTTACAATAAAATATCTTTAATATAAATAATAATAATGTACCTATTTTATACGTATTATGCAGCGGCACCCACGCACAAGCGAACCATTAAACAGCCCTTGGAAACAGCACTAAACTAGTTTACAAATTTATAGACGCTTTGCAATCCCCACCACAAAAAATAACCCTAATAGTGTAGATTTAACTCTTTTTAGTGTAAAAATATACTCGCTTACTGTTTACTTTACTCTAATCCAAAACAATAAATAATACACTAGCAAGAGGAAAACTAGGGAAATTTTAACGCAAATACACTGAGAAAAATTTATAGTAATATTAACTACAATTGTCAAACTTTACACCACAATTTGTATCCAAAATACGACTAGACATACAGTGTAGTGGCCTTTAATAGTCGTTTGTAGCAAAGGATTTGTAGTAAAATTTAATACAATTTTGTACGAGACATTTTAAAAAAGATTGCTGTTCCTATTGAATATTTTTTGTAGTCAAAATTAAAATAATTTTATGGTGCTCGTTCAAAAATTTTTTTTTAAAAAGTAATATAAATTGTAGTTAATTTAAATACAAAAAATGGTTATTTTTTTTAAAATCAATAGAAACATGAAATAAATACTATTTTAACTGCCACTAAAATTGTAGTAAATTCTATATATGTTTGTAGAAAATTCTTCAATAAAATGGAGCAATTTTTTCTACGTATTTTCTATACTTTTGTAGCAAAATTTTTTAAAAAATAGTATAAATTGTAGTTAATTTAAATAAAGAAATGGTAATTTTTTTACAATTAATGGAAACATGAAATAAATACTATTTTAACTGCCACTAAAAATGTAGTAAATTCTATATATTTTTGTAGAAAATTCTTGTACAAAATGAAGCTATTTTTTACTACGTAAACCTATACTTTTGTAGAAATATGTTTCTAGTGAAATTTATCAGCTTGAAAATTATTAAAACATCGATATTATTGAAAAAATAATTTTATTAAAATATTACAAAAATAATAATAATTCTGTATTAAAATTAAGATAAAGATACAAGTTTGTTTAGTTGCTTTTACAGGTTTATTACAAACAGTATTTGATAGCCACTACTTTTGTTTCGTCTAGATTCGTCAACAGGCACGGAGTACAATCATGTAATAAATTGTGTAATATAAGATGTTTTCTATTGTCATTTGCATAAAAAACTTCATACGCGTGAACATGAAAGTTATAACATGTAGAGATAAGCTCTTTATAAGAAAAATAAATATTTTTTTTATTTTCAATGAAAATTTTATCAATAATTCCAAAAATTGGCAGTTCTACAGCGCTTATAACGACTACAACATTATGCTTGTATAAAATACCATTTATCGTCACACTTTTCAAAGTAACAACCTCTTGGTGGTCAGAGAAGGGAAAAAAATATTGTAGATCTGAAGTAATTGCTTCTTCAGGGCCAATACAAATAAAATTATCCTTAAGATCAGTTATTAGTTGATGACATAGTCTTAACTGAGCTTTAACAGCAAGAGTGTGAATAATATTTGTATATGATCCAGAAATGTTGGAGGTAAGTTTTGATTGACGGTGCTTTTGTTCGAAGCGCATTCCCCACAAGTGAATCAGGGGGCCAGACATTTTAAATACAGAAGCATAATGTAATAAATGATGGTGCTTTGGTTTTAATTTATGAAGATATTTAATAACTAATTCAAGATACTCTTCAATTATTAATTTTAACCTGATACCCTCTGAAAAATGCAAGTTGGGAGCTGTCACAATATTTATTATCTCCCTAAGTTTAACCCAAATTTGCCACACTTCCAAACCATGGGGGACTAGATTTCCAATTAGAAGACCAAGGTACCTTACAAATGTTAACATTTCATTAGCTGAAAATTTTATTTTTGATTTTAAATTTTCCACAGAGATATTAGCGGGTGGTACATTTGAATTTTCTTTGCCAAATTGAAATGACCTTAATTTGTAATTTAAAATTTCTAAACTAAACAATTTTAAATCCAAAATTAGTATTTTTAAAAGAGCTGTTATATCATATATACAGACCCCCTCAAACAAATCATGCATTATATCAACCATATAATTAGAAACAACATGAAAATCAGATAGAGAATGCCAAACACACCGTTCTTTAACACCTGTAAGACTAACATTATTTTTCGAAAGATCATTTAGATAATTTTCTGGGGTTCTAATGATGTCTAAATTTTCAGTGCACATTTGCCATGAATCGTAGTTGGAAATTTTACAGAATCTGCAACTATAGGTACAGGAAAAACTTTCAGAAAACCCCAAAAGGGAATGGATGCCCAAATTGTCACCTAAAATAAGACCTAGTTTAAAAAAAATAGTGATTTTTTCATTTACACAAATCTCAACACCTTTTTCTTCTAAACACTTTAGTTCTTTAATAATATCAGAAAAAACTGCTTGATTACCGAATTCTTTATGATCCTTTGAATAAAATAGACCAAAAAGAAATACATTTTCAAGAGAAGAAAAAAGATTAGACGGAAAACAAGGAATTGAGATGTACACTGCGCCCAGTTTATTTGCATAAGAGTGTGAACCCAAAACGTTTCCCACTTGATAGTCATCAAAAAATAAGAATAGTGGAAAAACAATTTGATTTTTTTCAAGATACGGTCGAGACTTCTCTTTCCATAAACTACCTTGAATAAAATTCATAAAAGTGTCAGAAGACTTAATGTCATCAACATTTTTTTGAACAGCATTAAACACGCCCTCTTTTTCAAAAATCGCCTTTAAAACTTTTCTTAAAGGTATCATTTTTCCTTTAATTGGGGTTGATTCCAAAGTTGTAACTCCGTTTTTTGAAGTTTTAAATACATTTTTATGCCCAACCAATATATCAACAGGTGGAATAAAATGTCCACAATTTTGAAAGTAATTAAATCGTTTATGCTCTGTGTCTAAGTCATGAAATGCATTTTCATAAATTTCAAAAAAAGATTCAAGTGTGGTAATGCTTTCATTGGGGCAACTTAGATTTCTTAATAAGTTTATAACAATAGACCTAAGAAATGGTAAACCATCTAAACAGAAAATGTTTTTAGTTTTATCTATAATTAATTGAACAAAATTTCTTGGAATTAAAGGATTGTTATAAATTTCCGAAATGTAGTTTTGAATATCAGTAGATACTTGTCTTTGTAAGTCATTTGGGAGGATTAAAAAGTCATTACTTTTAGATGAGGAAGATACTTCAGATGTACAATGTATAGTAGAATTGTTTACTATATTATCATTAGAGTGCCTATATACTAAAACTTCTTTTTTGCAAATGCCTGTCAAACTAATATCAAATATCTTACCTATGTGAGTTTTCACGTGCCTCTTAAACGAATCTAGATTTGAAAAAACACGAAAACAGTCTTTTTCTCCACATGAATAATTGCTTAAATATTTATGGTATAGTTTAAAATGACAAAAAAAACTTTGCAAAGTATCAAAACTTGCTGAACAGTAATAGCAAGTGATCATATTTGAACAATAACTTATCATAAATATTAAAAACAAAATGTGGCAGGTACCAAAGAACTAAGAACCTAATCTATTTTTTCACTTTTCAACTTTTCAATGTCGGCCATTAAAGATGATGTGGCAACATATTTTCTGTCATACTCTGTTTTTATTTCATAAATATAAGTTTGAATAAACATCCAAACGGAATCACATTCTTTTGGGTATTCTGCATTTAGAGTGTGATAAACTTTAAAACATAAATCGACTGCTTTTAAAGGCGTATCCACTCGATATCTGATATCATTAAAACACACGTAACATCCCTCTATATTAGACAGAGACTCACCAATTATAACTGGAATTGGTTGGGAAGTCAGTTTGTAATTGGCGTATTTACTAGCCCTTAAAGATAACTCTGGTTCGAGGTCATTAATATTCTAAAACGATAAAATTCAAATAATAGTTACAAAAAAAATAAAATTACCTTAAGATGCAACAAAAAACCGTTTTGAATTTCGGTTTTGGAAGGTCGCCAGTGTAATCCAGGCTTGCTTGATTTTAAATTGACACAAGAAAATAGCAGGGGAAGAATAAGTAAGGCAGCAAAATTATCTAAAAATATACTTTTGCTATATTACAAAAATAAAATTAAAATTAACTGTACGTACCACAAAGACCTGATTGAGTGTCGTAATTTTCAAAAAATTTATTTATATAGGAGTCTTTTTTTGCTTTTCCAATTTGTAAAATATATTTAAACAACTCTGGCCATTTATTAATTAAATGATGCTGTTTAGCCCCAAATATATTTTCAAAATCCACTTCCAATAAAAGAAAACCTGTCTGAGATCGTAGGCACTTATATGTATTTAAATAGTGATCAATTGATTCTGGAAATTGGGCAATTCTGTAGTTGGTTGTCGCTTTCCACTTTTCTATGACTATAGGAAATGGCAAAGAATTATTTTTGAGCCATTGAATATGTTCTTCACAGTCTTCTTCTACTTCTGTAAAAATAAATAAATATTAATTCCCCATAGGTACTAATAGCATTAATTAATAATTATATGATTATAATCATACCTGTATTTAATTTACTTGTTGATGTGCTAGGCTGTGATATTAAATTTAATTGCTTATATGTTTTTCTTAAGTAGCAATACGTAGACCACAGTTTTCCTCTGGCAGCTTTTGGTTTTCCATTGGCATTTCGTACATATGAAACATAATATAATTCCGGTGGTTCATGTAGAAAAATATCATTAATTTCAATAGCCAAAGCCCGAAATCTGTCGGATGTAATCCTTAAAACAAATAATTTAATATGTAAAAAAAAAAATATTGTTTGCTTACCGTTTGTTAAAATCACCTTTTAATTCATTTTTAATTATAAGATCGCAAAGTTTCGATCGCAAAAATTTTTTTCCGTAACTAGCTTTAATTACTTTTCCCTCATCTGAATCCAATAAATGGCTTACACTCTGGCAAAAAAAAACAATTAAACAAACCTTAAACTTGGAGAACAGTGTACTCACATTTTGATATGGTGTCAATATATAAGGAACTCCAACGGTGGCTTTTTTCGGATATGTAATGGGTATAAGGCCTTCTAAAAAAGTAAAGTAAAGTAAAGGTGCAAGCCAGTGGCGGCTGGTGGATTTTGTGTATACCAATATCTCAGTTATTAGAGATGGGACCCACACCAAATTTATATGAGTTTATAATGACATTAAATAGACAAGTTCGGCGCAAACAGAATTTAAATTGAAGTTTGCGAAAAACAGTTTGTTTTTCCCGTTGCCTCACCCGCCTCCAGCCCCCTATTTGAGATAATTCAAATTAAAGTGGTGCAATTTATAATCTACTATAATTTATCGACAAATTTAAAATTTTATTTAAAAAATCCAAATATTACAGATTTTATTCTATTTTAAATTTTTATATTTATTTTATTAAAATAAAAAAAATATTTAAAATGGTATAAAATCTGTAATATTTGGATTTTTTAAATATAAATTTGGTGTGGGTCCCATCTCTAATAAATGAGATATTGGTATACACAAAATCCACCAGCCGCCACTGGTGCAAGCAGTGATTTAATAATATTAATGGTGCAAGCTTTAAAATAAATATAAAATTTACCGATATTGTTAGAAACCTCGGAACTTGGAGTGGATAAAGATGAATCAGTATTTTCGGTCGTTAATGAAACTGTGTCTGTTGACATGAACAAAACATCATTTGCAGATGCCTAAAAATAATGAATTTTTTAAAAAGTTTTTTAAGGTTCCAAGTAAAATACCTACATTAATAATTATTTTATAATGGTCATGTTTTTCTTGAAATTTTTTTCTTACTGACAAAACTGGAATTAATTCCTTTATATCTTCAATGCTTAAACTTTCAAAAGTTTCCTCGTCAATTTCATTTTCTTAAAATAAATATAAAGTAATAAGGTACTTATTTAATTATAAAATATTAATTATTAACCAACTAATCAGAACCAATTAATTAGTTAATTTAACTTTTTTATTGAATATATATGTTTTATTAATTTTGTAACTGATTTTTGGATTTTAACCTCACAGAATATATAAATATATTTATATATTCTGTGAGGTTAAAATCCAAAAATCAGTTACAAAATTAATAAAACATATAAAAACCAATTGGTGTTATACCGTCTAACCCATTATTACTTATTTATTATTTTTTGTTTACTTTTAAGGACCTAAAAGGGAAATATATTTTTTTGAAATAACAAGGCGTACGTACGTACCACTAAGATAGCTCATAAACAGTAAGAGATATAAAAAGAGTGTTAAGCAAAAATGCAAGTTTAACAAAGATATATAAATTAAAATTAGTTTTAAGTATACAGGGTGAGTCACAAAAAGGTTATGATTAAATTAAATAAATCTTTTAATGGGACACCCTGTATATTATCTCATCATCTGACGCGGCAGAGCAAGAGCTTTCCACTAGTACTTCGTTTGTTAAATTCCAGTGAGGCATAGCCGCGTAATTAATTTTTTTCTGATGTTTTGAAAAAAACCTGATACATAATTAAGGGTGATATTTTTTAAATATGTTATAACCTAATAAAACTTTTTGAAATGGATTCTGGACCCTGCATTTTCTGATGTGATATTTTACTAGATATTATGGTATTTTAATAATTAAATAAATTAAACCCTAAAACACTTTAAAATTAAGCCCCATAATTAAATAAGAACGTGATTGTTTCTAATCTTTAGCAATAATTGCTAAACATTAAAACAATCACGATAAAATTATGTCTTAAAAATAAATAGTGTTTAATTAATTTTGAGGCTTTATTTTAAAGTGTTTCAGGCTTAGTTTTATTTAATTATTAAAATACCATAATAGTAAACAATAGTTTTTCCTAGATTCTTGTTTTAATCATTTAAGAGTCCGCTATTTTGCAGTTAACAAATAAAGTGAAATATCTTAAAAACTAGAGGACATAATTCGTGAAAGTGAGATATACAAATCTTGTTTCCCCACGTTTTTTCTAATCAGAAAAAAATTAATTACGGCGGTACTGGAATTTACGTACTAGAGTAAAGCTCTTTCGCGTCAGATGATAGACACTTAATTAATATACAGGGTGTTCCATTGAAAAAATATATAATTTATTGATAAATTTTTTGTGACTCACCCTGTGGACAAAAAACTAATTTTAATTTATAGATCATTGTTAACCTTGCATTTTTGCTTAAAACTTTTTTATATTTCTTACCGTTTATCAGCTATCTTAGCCGTACGCCTTGTTGACACACCCTGTATATTCGAATAAAAAACAGGACGCCTATGACTTGCTAAAATCAAAGCTCGCCGCCGCGGCGTAAACAATCTTCCCTCGCTCTTCATTCGTCGCCCAAGAACTTATTCAGGTGAGATAGATGTTGCCAATTAGGAGATTAAAATTATTAAGGAGATATATTTGTGTTCATCAAACTATTTATTTCTTAAAAGTTAAAACAATACAAAAATCTGACTTACCATCAAATTTATCCTTCAATTTATCTAAAAGATTCCACTCTAAAAGTTTTTCTCTTACAAAGTTATCCATCGGAAACAGGTACAGTTAAAACAGGCAAGTTAAATAATTAAGTAGGTACCTAACTATTTTATGGAATGGTCAACGAACACTTTGCACTAAAACACACCCGCATAAGATTCGTATTGCATCGTCACTGGGTGATGGCCACGCAATAAATGACCCCACCCTACAACAAAGAACTTTCTGGAAGGCGGTAAAGCACAGGACAAAATTAACATATAATTGTAGTAAAATTTACTACAAAACAATACATAACGTTAAATATGCTATTGATAAATAGTAGACTTTGCTACAATTTTAATAAAAACCCATATTACAATGTAATACAATTGTTTAAGTTATATTTGCTGCAATAAGTACTAATATTTATAAAAAATGTAGGAATCCTTGCCAAATATTATTGCCATAATTTTATAGTGTTTTGCGCTTTATATGCATCTAAAAAATCTTGCAATTATTAAAAATATTACTACAAATATAGTTTTATTTAGTAACTTATTCTTACTATATTAAAGTAGTATATATTACCAACCGCCTTTTCTCAGTGTAGCGGTTGTAAAATACTAATTTATAGTGTAAATGTTTTACCTTTTACAAAGTCTAAATTAACACTAATGCGATTGTATTAGACATTCGAGTAAAAAATATAATATTTTTAGAGTTATTATTACACTTTTCCGGAAAACGCTGAGCGTAGATATTAACAGCATCATCAAGATTCCTGCCTGCTTCTCCATAAAGCAAAATCATTTCTATTTTTTCTTCCACTGTTAAAAAATCCATTATGAATAACTGCTTAACGAAAGGGGGTCTTTTTGTTTGCAAATTAATCTTCGAACCAAATTGATTAAATAATGCTAAACTATGTATAAATAGTTTCTTTATACCTCAATAATAAGTATTATCTATAACTAAATACCATTTTTTGTACCTCAATTAGGATTAAATTAATTAATTTAAAGTTTCTCTGTATTTTTAATACCTAATTAAATTGAAATTAAATTATACATGGAAAATGGCAAATGTGCCCTTGATTTGACCCATCATAAAATTGCTACCCTTAACTCTGCAATAAAAGTCTCTGCTAACTTTGGTTAGAAAGAAATTTTGTAAGAAAAAATCACAGGAAGTAACTTCAAATAAGTTCCTGACAAGTGACCGTCTTTTGCGTTATGTATGCGGGGTGATTTTAAACCCGCTCCTCGTCTGCCAGCTCAAGTTACCGGCTCTTTTTACGTTGGGACCTCATTAGGATTTTTTCGTCCTTTTTCCAGGATCAAGTCTCCTTACCGAGCCTCACCGCAAACGAGTGCTTTTTTACTATTTTTACGCTCATTTGGAAAACCGCTAAAATGGCGAAGGGTCACCCTTTTTCTACCACTTCACACTTATTATCGTTTAATTATTTTTCACAAATATTTTTTTAGGATCCAATGCTCATTTAAAATAATAATTATGATGAATACGCAAATTAAAATTTTTATTTATTTATACATCAACTTTGCTATTTTAAATGAAAATTCCCATATATTTTTACGATTTTTAATTCTACATAAAATTCTATCTAAGTAAATTACTATAACATGTCCTTTACCTAAAGTGAATGCACGGAGAGAAAAGTATAATGCTGATGACCATAATTGTAATATCCTTTACTATAATTTATATTACTATTTGGGACAACTATCTTGTACATTGCCAGATACTATGCATATTTAGTAATTTTTAAATATCCATGTATGTTAAACCTTAAGGTAAAATATTATTATTCCCAACCAATTTTGTTTTAAATTCTTATTATAATTAGATTTTTTCCATTACTAATAAGTATAGTAAATTTTAAAATATTATGTTGCCATTTTAAATATAAAATATTTTAAAATCTAATATTTTTATATGTTAACAATTAAAAATTGTAACATATTTATTGTACTTTTTATTATACAAAAATGTTATGAGAAAGAATTGAACCTACACCTCGCCAAAGTTTTTTGTTTTGAGTGCGTTCCATCAACTTCAAATACCGACAGACAGGTGTTTTGATCTATATTGGGTATCATCAGTGTCGACACGACACTGTCGAGCAACTTGTAGTAGTGGAACACACCCAAAACAAAGAAATACCTGAGCTTATATAACATAGTTGGTAAGCCAACAGAGGCGAGATGTAAGAACATCACGTGATCCACACCGTCTAACGACGCATCGCGACGTGGTCTTTGCCGCAATCTGTACATACTATGCAACCAAGTAGGTTCAATTCTTTCTTATAAGTATTACCAGTAATGGGTCAAGAAAGTTTATTGAAGAAACTGAATGTTACTATATTGTATATTATATTTAAATATATTGTTTATTTACCTTAAACATAAAAGTATCTTTATTTTTACTATATTTTTTATTATTGTGTAATATATTATAATATTAGATGTACACCATACATTTCATTAAATCATATAGTAAATATTACTATTTGTAGATAGTAAAATCAATTTACTATACGAACATATTAAAAATTAAAATATATATTATACATTTATGATTTAGTAATATTGGCGTTGTAATCTTTACTAAAATTGTATAATAAAAAATAGTATTTTGTATTACAATCTTAATATTGTATTGACTAATATATAATATTGTTACCCTAAAAATTTGTTAAAGTAAATTTTACTATATTTTTTTTACTATCTTAAATTTACTATAAATTTCTCTGCGTGTAGTTTTCGAGTAATTAATTTTTTTCGTTATCATTTGAATCAAATGATCAAAATATTAATTACTTGAAAACTACACGGAGAGAAATTTATAGTAAATTTTAGATAGTATTAAGCCATTAAGTTATAGGCCATTTATTAATTGATTTGATAAATTGCCTATAACTTAATGGCGTCAATTTTTTAGGTTGTTAAAAACATTTTTTGACTAATAAAGTGTTTTGTAAACAATATTACTGATAAAAAAGCAAGCCAAACATTTTAAAACCACATAATGTTCGGACACTTCATAATTTATACAGAAATTTTTTTCGTGAATACTATCTCAAAATTATTAGAAGTTATGAAAAATTCAGCTTATTTTGGCATATACTCCTCGAAGCGATTTTTATTTTTAAAAAGTTTACCTTTTATTTTTAGCTTTTAAAAAAAGGCTAACTTTTTAACTTTTTTTTGTATGAGTAAAAAAAGTTATAAATGGACCCATTAAAAAGAGCATAAAATATTATACAAACCCTGAAAATTTGGTAAAAAATAAATAAGTTATAAAAAAGTATAAGTAATTTAAAAATGCTATTTTTAAAGAGTTTTTGCAATTTTCTTAGGAAACGGGAGATTTTGCAGATATATATATCGCTATAACTTTCTTATTATTTATACAATTTTTACCAAATTTTTAGGGTTTGTATAATATTTTATGTTCTTTTTAATGGGCCCATTTATAACTTTTTTTACTCATGCAAAAAAAAGTTAAAAAGTTAGCCTTTTTTTAAATGCTAAAAATAAAAGGTAAACTTTTTAAAAATAAAAATCGCTTCGAGGGGTATATGCCAAAATAAGCTGAATTTTTCATAACTTCTAATAATTTTGAGATAGTATTCACGAAAAAAATTTCTGTATAAATTATGAAGTGTCCGAACATTATGTGGTTAGGGCTCGTATAAACAGTATTTGCTAATTTTGAAAAAAAATTAACAAAGCTATAGGATGTCAACTATAACTTATTTCTTTGACTAAATTAAAAAAAAATAGAAATGGTATAAAATCTGTAATACTTGAATTTTTTTAATAAAATTTGAAAGTTGGTGAATTAATTATTGTACCACTTTAATTTGAATTATCTTATTTTGGGAGGGGCAGAAGGCTGGGGGGCACACTTAAAAACTAACTTTTTTTCACAAACTTTCTGCTCGCGCAAAACTTGTCTATATAATTATATTATAAACTCATATAAATTTGATGTGAGTCCCATGTCTAATAACTGAGGTAAGGGTGTGCTCAAAATCCACCAGCCGCCACTGAGATAAAGCACTAGCTCATTTAAGGCAATAAAATATTAAATTTATTTTATAGATTATATTTTAATTAAAAAAAGGATGCGTAACTGTACCAATTTAATAAAGCAACAATGTTTTAATTAACAATTTTTATTACTAATTTATTACTAAATTTTTAAAGTGTCATCCATTTACATTTAAAAGCTTATTCTTATTTCTTCATTAAACGTTGCTCTTCTTCACTAAAATATTGTTGATTTATTAAATAGTCATTCTCTAAAAATTAATTAGTTAAAAATGACTAATATAATTGTACCATGGTTAACCATGAAATACCATGGTATCCCAAAATTTAACTGCCATTTCTTATGTAAAATTGTCCCCTGAATCCAAAAATGTCGTAAAAAGTTAAAAAGTAGAACATGTTCTGATTCAGGGGACAATTTTACATAAGAATTGGCTGTTAAATTTTGAGATACCATGGTATTCCATGGTTAACCATGGTACAAGTGAAAAAGCAGCCACTAATAACTATTAAATTATTCATTTTTTAATAATTCATTTTTAGAGAATACATTTGCGCATTATTTTTGTTATTAAAGTATTTCATAAAAAAAATTGTGAATGAGATAGTGCTTCATCTATTTAACAAATTACATCTCTGTTGATTTTTTTTTCAAAGTTAGAAAATACTGTTTGTATTACTTTTAATTTTTAAAAATGTCTATTTTTTATAAGTCACTGACTGCAATTTTTATTAGTAATTTTTTTACAAAAAACTTATTTATTTAAAAAATTGTTTGTAACAACCTGAAAAATGTACGCCATTAAATTTTAAACAATGACAGATTACGTGGAAACCATAGAAACCGTCAACTCACCCGCCATAGGTTTGTTGATACGAAATAATATTTAAATGTTAAAGAATTGACATGGAATCTTTTAAGATTCCAACAAAAAAGCTTTTTTTATTGACGCGTATTTTTCAAATTTTATCGAAAAAAAAATTAATAACAAAAAAATGTTTACTTTAGGTATAGAATATGGTTCAAAATATTTTTAAAACGCTTTTAAAATTTCAAATCAATATCTTTGACGGTTCCCCAGAAACTTCTAATTGACCACGATTGTAAAACACCCTGTGTAGTAATTAATATTATTAATAAATCATTTTTTTAAACATAATTTTAGTGTAAATAACTTTTTAAAGAATCATTTCAAGAAACTTGCAAAAATGGCGGATGCGCCGGTAAAAAAACTGAAAAGCTTAATTCGCACGTTAATAGTCTATTTTGATCCGCGAGCATTTTTTCATTATTTTCGTGCCTATTTAATTTTCCCGCATCGTCATAATTATCTGTTTACGGAACCTGCTGACCGAAGCTATTTTGTCTATATTTAAATGTAATTCATTGTAAATAAGGTAGAGGTGTATTACATAACCGATCCCGTAGACGTAGGTTGCCTACACTCTACAAAGTGGCGCGCACTATGGAGGGAAAAATAAATATATTGGCAGCAAGGGTTTGCTAAAACATAGATCCAATAATTTGATGTCTAATATAAAAAAATTACTTTCAGTATTAATTTTTCCTTCATGTTTTTACTTGTTGTCTATATAAAAAAATGTTGTTAAAAAAGTTTGTTGATATCACAGACCTAGACCTAGGTCTGTGGTTGATATGCAAAACTCACTTTTTTTAAATCTTTTATCATGCTTCTTGGTTTTTTGTCCCAATAAAAATTGTTTTACTATATTTTTTTATCCCTTGATTGTTTTGTATATTTTAAATATAAAATACTTATAATGATATTAAAATAAGTATTCTAAAAAATGATAAGATAATTTAATTTAAAAACAAATAGTTAAAAAAGTCATTTTTGGTCAAGTCTTTTAAATTTAAAGTTAATTTTTAAAGTTAACAAAGTAAATATGTAGGTACGAAAAATTTAATTTTTTAATTAAACTTAACAATTATTGATACTTTAAAATATAAAAATAACTGCAAAATATGATTATATCAAGAAAATATTTTATCCTTTGATTTTTTTATTACTCTAATTTTAAAAATTCTTTCAGGAGAAAATTGTTTGTCTAAAAATGTTATATTAATTATTTATCTCCTTTTTTTATTTTTTTTAGTCTTTTAAGTGATATTTAATAAAACATATTTTAATGGTTATTTTCCAGTAATTTTATAAATTATGTATTTTTAGTTTTTTTTTAGTTTTTCAAGTGAAAATTGTGATTTAAAACATATTAGATTTTTATAAAAGTACACAGTAGTCTTTTTGTTCTAGATTTTTATTTTTTTAATCTACTTTATTGTATTTTTTCTTTAATATTTAAAATATTCAAAATATTTCAACACTTACACAAAATGGCGAATGCGCCTGATGAATTTATCATATATTATATCACGAGAACTATGAATTTAATCGGTTAAACTAGGCTTAGTTTTTTTTCTTTGGTTTTTATGTCAAATATGTCAAAATTTATGAGGGTCAGAATTTCTCAAACGGGCCACCTGAATTAGGTCAAAATTAGTTTTTGATTGTAGATACATTTTTTCGATAGTATTTTACATCACTAACACAAATCCTAAAGGATTTTGTAAAAAAAAATTTTTCAATTGACATATTCATGATATTAAAAGTAAAAGTTTTTAGTAATTAAAAAATAAAAAAAAATCATTATGGCTAAACTAATTATCCGATTCCAACGATTTAACTAGCGTTGGAATCTTGTTTTGACATAGATTCTTTGTTATTTTTTTCAATTGTACAATTTTTATTTAGGTCGATTTTTTTTTGTTTTTTTTATAACAAATTCGGAAATAATTGGCTTCTGCGCCAGCTATCGACTCGAAAAAAAAAACACATATACTCCAATCATTTTTCGAAATTATGCTGCTGAGAAAAAAAATGGCCCGCAGGTTCCAGACCACCGTAAGACGTCGCGTCACAAGCGCGTACAGCGTACACGGTTCGGAGCGTGAGCTGACACCGCGCGCGGCCACAAAAGGACGAATAACTTTTTGTCAACCTGCGGGCCATTTTTTTTCTCAGCAGCATAATTTCGAGAAATGATTGGAGTATATGTGTTTTTTTTTCTCGAGTCGATTGCTGGCGCAGAAGGCAATTATTTCCGAATTTGGTATAAAAAAAACAAAAAAAATCGACCTAAATGAAAATAGGACATTTGAAAAAAATAACAAAGAATCTATGTCAAAACAAGATTCCAACGCTAGTTATATCGTTGGAATCGGATAATTAGTTCAGCCATAATGAATTTTTTTATTTTTTAATTATTAAAAACTTTGACTTTTAATATCATGAATATGTCAATTGAAAATTTTTTTTTTACAAATTCCTTTAGGATTTGTGTTAGTGATGTAAAATACTATCAAAAAAATGTATCTACAAACAAAAACTAATTTTGACCTAATTCAGGTGGCCCGTTTGAGAAATTCTGACCCATGAACATTTTTTTAAACAAAATTTCATAAATTTAAAGTTAGCGTAAATACGTACGGTTATTTTTTTTTATTTGCTGTTAGGTTCGTGAAAAATCTAGTAGTTAATTTTCCTGTCTTTGAAAATAGCATCCATTTGGTTTTAAAAAGATAAGCAATAATCACGAAACTTTTTCTTCCTTCAATTTGCAAGTTACTAATCATTAATAGTCCTGGACAATATATACATTATAATTATTATCAAGCCAAAACAAGTATTAACGTCCAGTGGCTTTAACAAAATATCCATTCGCCATTGGAGTCCAATGATTAGACAACATTCACGTGTGTTCAGATAAAATTTTAATTTCTTTCATATAAATTCTTTTCAAAGCGAAGATTATTACCCGCTAGGAATACTTTGTCTCTCCTGGGCCCTAGTCACCTATATTTAACTACTTTTTATATGATTTTACTCATATGCGCATCATTAATGCCAAATTAATTGCATTTTTAACTACGAATTTTGATATAACTCAACTCGACAACCGTTCAATGTAACCTACAATCCTAAACCACAATAATTTAAACATAACCACAATTACATTATGATTACATTAAATGTTATAAATTTTATAACTAGTTGGAGGCTAAAATTTAATCTCTGTTAAACAGTTGTAGTGATTTAATCGCTTAACTAAACCATATTTCTTCGAAAATTCAAGGCTTTTGATTGGTTCATTTTCTAATGAGGGAAATAATGACGAGCAATTTCTTTGAGAAAATAACGAAACATAGTCGCGCCCCATCGTGCGCGAATCGTGTCGCGCACGAGACGAGCCGAGCGGCGGTCGAGTCGCCGTCTGGCCGAACGCAATGTCTCCCGACGGGCTCAGTGTGTGACGACACGCCAAAGGGGCACGTACGAAATCGTCGCAGCGACCGACACAATCACAACCCTCCCCCAAAAGTGGTGCACCAAAAAAAACGCACGCAACGTCTCGCACACCAAGGGCGAGAAACTATCGAAGGGCAAAGTAATGCGACAGCCACGATCGACATCTGGCGTCGACTTAAATTGAGCACGACCGGGAGAGACAGAGACAAAAACGTTTTACAGTATACTAACCATACTAGTGCACTGAAGATTTTTAGTGACGGCAAGGGATTTTGGATAGGCACGTTATAAGTACGTTGAGCACGCATCCCTTTATTTTTTATGTATTATTTATGCTTATTTTCCTCTCTCTACTATGTACACACACATTTATATACACACAAATCTCACATGGCGTTCTATGACCTTGGTGGAATTCGATACCTAACCTCAAAGTTTGCACGTTTTATTTATTATTCGCAATCGCTGCCGCTACTCGCTGCTTTTTTCCACAGGAAATGCAACCTGCTGCTCTTATTTTTATACATTCTGACAGTTTATTTCACATAAAAATTAAATTACGTTTATGAGATTTTATTCACAACTATACACCAAATTACTCATAATTGTTATTGCCCTATTGCATGCTCTCAGCTATTAGGCTTGTGTGGAGTTCCGCAGCTAGAAAATGTAGTTAAATTTAAAACGTTTACTGAAGCTACATTTAATTGGTTTTGTCAAATAAAATAAACGTTATTGTGTTTAAATACGTTTCGCAAACGTAAGCGAAATAAGGTGGCGGCATATCAAATATTTTTGACTCGAAAGCTATTTGTTAATCTGTGCCAAAATGTTTGAACTGTGACAGGTAGTTTACTACAAAATTTTTATTGATTGCGTTAATTTTTTCTGGCGTAAAAAAATATCATCGAACCGCGAAACTATTTTGACAGGGACATTGTTTTAAAGACAAGGAATTTTTTATATTATTAAATTGGATGTTTTTTTTTAAATCATGTTTTACTTCTCTAAATAATCATTCGTTTTTTCTGACGTGTCTACGTTACTTCATGTTTGTTGCAATAATAAACGATAATGTTGACTGTGTCCAACCAAAATTATCAATCTGTCATTTTCGTCTAGAAGTTTCGTCAACACTGGATTACGAAAACGTAAATTTTTTATCAATAAAAAAAAAATTTAACAATTAAACAATCCAGAAGGTTTTTGTGGTTTTCTTATCTTTGTTTTCTGCACTTCTCGAGACGGCATGTTTTTTGTTGCTTTATTTTTGGTTTTCATCCTTTTTTTAATATTTTTTTTTGTAGTGAACTTCATTCGATTCACAGAACATAATAATTCGTTTTCACAACTCATTTTAAGATTTTAACTAAACCTGCATATAGAAAAGTCACTGCAACTGTCAAAAGCGAAATATATATATATATATATAGTAGGGTGGTCGTTAAAAATTATTTTTTTTTATTTTATTGATAATAATTTTTAAATCTCAAAAAAATTAACTTAGATCGTCTTGAAAACGTGTTTCAAGACGATCTAAGTTGGTTGTTTTTAATTAAAAAAAAATTCCTAGTGTTTTTTTCATCAAAACGAAGCGTTTTAGGGGGCGTCGCAAAAAATTTAATTTTTAACGACCACCCTAATATATAGGTATATTGATAATTGGTTGCAGTGACATTTCTATATGCAGTGTTAATTAAAATCTTAAAACAGTTTTAATTATCAAAAATGTAAGAAACTTTGATTTTTTTAATTATCTGCTTTTTATCATTTTATCCGAATTTTCTAAATTAAATAAATATGAAACATATTATTTAAATTATTTTCTATGGTTAAAAGCAAATGTTACAAATTTCAAATATATCTTGATGAAATTTTATGTCTAATTCAAAATGTCAATGTGTAGAAATCAACTCTTTAAGTATAATATAAACGTTTTAATAGTATATTAAAGAACTAATGTATAAGACGTCATTTTGTCGCACGCGGACAATTTATAAAACCAGTGCGACAAAAGGTCTTATGACATGAGTTCTTTATGCTATTTTATCAATTTTGCAAACATTCTATAAAAAAAATAATTTTATACCTTCAATTTAATTTGGTCGAATTTTACTTTAGATAGTTGGTATCTCAGTCATTGGTTTGACAGTTAATGTCAAAATCGATTCGCCATGCCGTCCTTAATTTACTTATTTACAATAAGCGGCTGTTAATGTTAAAGAAGAAAAAAGGAAGTTGGTGTTAAACAAAATTTATTACCAGAAAAGTCTCGCAAGTACTAGAAAAATCATAAAAATATTATAACAAATTTGCAAAATATTATGCTGTTTAAAGTATAGCCAACCTATAACTTAAAAGTTAATGGTCGAGCGATAGATGGTGTTAGGCTATAATAGGTAATTTAAAATAAACTATTAATGATTTATGATTTACAATCTTCATAAAGTCAATATTAAAAGCGTATACAATAAAATTTAACATTAACTGCAGAATAAATATTAAATGGTCAGTAAATTAAACAAAATTATTGAAACAAACGGTCAAAATTTTGGGAATAAACTTTTGACGCCAAAAATCAAAATTTATTTACCCAAAGGGATCATAATAGAAGCAGAATTAACAATATTTGGTGAGTTATTGAAATAAATAATAAACAAGAAAAAATTATTTCCAAAAAGTGCAAAAATGAATTAAAAAAGTATCGTCATTTAGGCAGGGTTAAGCGGCATCGGTATTTTTTTTCTTCAAAATTTTTATTGGGCTATAAACTAACAATTTAAACGATACCCAAGTAAAAACAGCCAACTTGGTAAATCGGACATAAAATAGAAAGTAAATTTTGTTTTTGTTGGTACCTATCGCTATTTATTCTTTAAGTATAAAGATAACTTTGGATACGGACCGTATCATACGGTGTATATAAAGGATAATTTTTTTTTCAAAATCATTTGCAAACATTACATTTAAGCCAATAAACATATTATTTAACCATTAAAATGTTATTTTCAATCTAAATGTAAGGTAAATTAATTAACGAGTGAATATAATTTTATTATCCCTAATAAAATCTAAACGAACCCGGCTAATTATCCTTCATAGGTAAGGTAATTACGATACATCGAAAGATACATAATTACCAGTCTATTTCAATGTCCGCATATTAACGTGAATGGCATTCAGCAATCAAATCAAACTCCAAGCCAATTAGTTCGATATTATAGCCATATTTTTACTTTATTATTTCGTTTCGCTCTCTTTCTATCTTCACGTTGATAATAATAAGTTAATGCACTCTACAAGAAATCTTTTTTCTACTCCCACCTTTAAAACGCAATCGTACATGTTTTCATGACACTAAGTGACCTTTTAAATACACATTGGCAAGTAAGAAACAGGTTTTTAGTCACGGGCTGAAGTTAGTTGACAGTCAAATGTCATACAATCGTTAAAATAAAGTGCCTTTTTTGTAAAATAATACTAAATGTGAAAATTATTTTATTATCTCAATACAAAAATACAAAAGTATTAAATAGATTCTCAACGCCAATATTTAAAAAGTTTATATGAACATTGAACTGACCTTTTAATTTCGCCGGCAGTAAACTATAACTTAAATTCGGGCACGGACTCCACTGTAAAGTGCTCATAAAACATTTTCTTTACTTTCACTGTGAAAAACTGTCAATTTTCAAGAAATACAATACACCTTTATAATTGTGTTTATTAAATATAAAAATTTGACACACAGATTCCCCTATTGTTTCATAGATGGCGCTCTATACAAATTTTTGATTTAAATCATTTTAAGATAATAATAAGTATTTGTCGTAGAAAAAGTATATCTAGCATATATGCACCTCGTTTATAAACTTTTATATACTATCGCTAACAAAAAAAACTCATACAGCTTAAAAATCTAGTGTTCCTGATTTTCTATCATTTCGTTGGCGTAATTATGGCTTTTAACATGATATGTCACATTTGAAAGGTCTATAATTAAATACAAAGTTAGGTTGAAGTTTGAAAAAAAAATAATATTTCGTCATCCCTCTGTTTTTGTCAATTACTGCCCGCAAACGGCAAAGCATGGAAGTCGCCGTCTTGCTTTATCTAGTCTGCATTGTTTGGTTGAAAATGTTGTTAAAAAAGTCCTAATGTGACAAAGCTCAATGTCAGCTTGACATTGACGGAAAAGTTTTATTCACACAGCCACAATATAGCTGTATGAGTTTTTTTTGTTAGCGATAGTACACTCATTAATTTAAGCACTCGCTCGCAAGCTTGCTCTTACCTAAATTAAATTCATGTATAAAATGGCGTTTATCAAACTTGATACATAATATACTATTAACTATCAAGTGAAATTTTATAAATAAAAATTACTTTTATAGCATTCCAGTAGGCATAATCGCATAATTAGTTGTAGTTTTTTTATTAGTTAGTAAACGACCTAAAGCGCGGCGACCGCACAGCAATAAATCTAAATTAATTAATTGCAACAAATGCAGCGAGTTTTAATGATGAAAATTAACTTGTTTTATGCAAAGGAAAAAAGGTAATGACGAGATGAGATAACGTTCACGCATAGGTATCCTTCAGATGTCATATTTATGGAGGCATAAAAGAATTTTACCGAGCGCTACCATCGTGGATAATTACACTTTTATGAATTTATTTACTTGATAAATAAGATGTTAAGTAGGAAATCGTAAAGTTTATTATTTGTTATTAAATAATTATGGAAATGTCACAGCTTGACTGGTTTTGGTTGGCAGAATTTTATAAATAATTAAATAATATATCATTTTCCTTAGTAATTTCGTTTAGGTTATTCGAAAATTTGTTCTTTGTCCTTTATGGTCTTTTTTATAAGGGACGAAAGAAAAAATGAAAAACTAATGAGGAGGATATTTCTATTAATTTAATTTCCTACAAAGAAGGTCCTATGCATCATAGCAATATAACACATAGTTTAAAAGATAAAGCGTTTGTCATATATTACTAATTAGGTATTTTATAAATATTCGTCATTAAAATTCTTTTTTTGTACCCTTAATGGAAAACAGCCATTTGAGTAGCTACAATTCAGTAAAGAAATGTTTTATTTTACTAATTAGCAACACTTTAATAGCTAGCAACATTTGACTAGTTAGCAACACAACCATACACACAAATCTGACATTTAACGAAAAAAATGATCCACAATTTTTATGTTCATAAATATTAAATGTACAATTATATATATTTTGGAATGAAATTCCATTTGTACTTTTGGAAAATTCGTTTAA